TAGTAATTTTAGGCACCTATCGGTACATTTTCACACATCAAAGGTTTCCCAGTACATTTGACCTTGAAACTTGAGAAATATTTACAAACGCGTCACGCGGTCGGTCGGAACGTCGCCAGTCGTGCGGTTCAGCAGCGTTGCCAGATGGTCGATACTTAGGGCAGGGAAGAAACTACCGCTAGGTTATCAAATGGGTGGTGACTATGGACCTGTTTGGCTGACTTGAGCCATTACATTTTTTTGATATAAGTGTTTGTAGCTAGCTCAAAGGGACTAACTTGGGCCGAACATAATCCTCTATGGCGTAAGATGGTATTCCAAGTTTTTTCGTTAAAGATTGCATTCATATACTAGCGAAACCGCTGGCTTCCATATTCAACCTAATTCTAAAATCAGAGACATATCCAAATATCTGGAAGACCTCTAAAATATGTCCTATTCACAAAAGTGGAGATATCTCCGATATTTCCAACTATCGCCAAATAGCAATCGTGTGCAATTTCAGCAAGTTGTTTTAGATCATCGCTTATGAAACGGTTTACTGCTCGGTGAGGGGTGCAGTCTCTATTAATCAGCATGGGTTTATGAGAGGCAGGTCTACGGTCACCAACTTGGCTCTGATTACTCAGTACATTTCTGAAGTACTGGACGATCAGGGGCAAGTTGATGTCATCTACACAGATATTCAGAAGGCGTTTGATCAAGTTGATCATTATGCACTTCTGGACAAGCTTAAAACAGTGGGTATGTCTGATGTAATGCTGTCGCTCATGAATTCATATTTGAGGGATAAAAGGTTATTTGTCGAATATGGTGGTCATAGGTCGAGTTACTATCGGGCCACGTCCGGGGTACCTTAGGAGTCAAATTTAGGTACATTATTGTTTTTGATATTTATTAATGACTTGTCTGTTGAACTGAAGTGTTTCCATTAGTTTTTCGCTGATGACCTTAAAATCTGCACCTCAGTCAAGTCAGTCGAGGATTGCGTCATGTTGCAAGATGACTTAGCTCTAATTTCGTCATGGTGTTCACGAAACTGTCTCAGTCTGAATGTTTCGAAATGTAAAGTTATGACTTATACAAGAAAGGTTAACTATTTAATTTATGATAATTATAACATCAATGGTCAGGTTATAGACAGATACACCTCTTATAGAGACCTTGGAGTCACTTTTGATACCAAGCTAACGTTTACTGAGCATATACTCAATATCTCGTAGGCTGCCACTCGACTACTTGGTTTCTGTATCAGAAACTGGAAGGGTTTCTCCAATGTTGATACATTAATGACTTTATTTTTTACTTTTGTCAGGAGCAAGTTGGAGTATGCGACTCTGATCTGGTCTCCTATATACCAAAATTCTGTCATGATCCTTGAGGCCATTCAACGTAAAGCTTTAAAGTATGTTCACCTTAAATGCACAAGTTCTTATCCAGAAAGAGGTTGTGACCATAGTGCCCTATTAGAGTTTTTCAATTTGGATTCACTGTCAACAAGGCGAAACATATTTGCTTTGTTGTTTTTGTATGGCCTCATTCACAATAAAATTGACTGTCAAAATTTACTTGAAAAAATATGTTTTCGCGTTCCAAAGCTAGGGAGTCGACAAAAAACGGCATTCTATTGTCAAGCTGGCCGTACAAATGTTATGACAAAATCGCCAATTAATCTCATGTGCTGCGTCATGAACAGTGTTACTGAATCGTGTGATATTTACAGTGACAGTTGTGCATCGATTATTAACTGCTATAGATCATCCAATCTTATTTAGAATGTGTGATACTATAGATTTAAGTCCAAGAACCATGTCTCTTTAATTGTTATTTTTTTCAGCATTTCCTGTAATTGGGTTTCACCTGTTGGAAATAAATAAATAAAAAAAAAGAAGCGCAGAGTCGACCTACTTAACTTGATTTGAATTACAAATGGTTTCTAGATGGAAAAATTGTATGACAGCACCTGTCAGCAGTTTTGAACATGACAGCTGCTGTCACCAAAAATTACAATACCTTTGATGACAAGAACTTATGGTCTCAAAGGACACCGGAAAATGACACTAAACAATTTTTCTGATTTTATTGTCAATAAATTTTGTAATATTGTTTTTAAACAGAGCTAATCAGCTTTTGTTCGTTTAAGATTTATTTAGCATGATTGCTACAATTACATTCTTCCAAAAAACTAAACAATTACATAACATACAGACATTTGGAAGAAAAATCAAAATTTGCATCTCTAAGAATCTTCATTGTCCATGAAATATTCCATTAATTTTCTTTTAAATATCTTTAAATTACAAGTAGACGTTATATCATTATTTAGTTTATTAAATTCAAGTAATCCTTTCTGAAATATTGATTTGCTAGTTATATTACTATTGCAATTTTGTAAATGAAAATCTATATTTACTCTTGTATAATAATTGTGGTAATGATTATTCAATTCTATGTAGTGTTCTAAATGTTCTGTCAAAAGATGATTTTTTATTTTAAATATAAAAATAAGAACCAAATATGATATGTAGTGAAAATGAATGTGTAAAAGGTAGTATTTTTTGTCAGCTATGTGTATGCAGATAATCTGTTACTCATGAAATAGTCTTGTCAATGCTAAGCAAACTTTTTTAACAAAAAACATTCGACTCGGATTTTTCCGTTTTTTTTTTTTCGGAAAAATTAGATGCCCTTATGATTATTTCGTGATGTGTATATAGATGACTAAAATACAATGTTATACATTTTTTTGCCAAAATTAGCATTTTTTGTGCATTTTTCTTCAATCGTAATCGTTAACAAATACGAGCTCCTCCACTTCAGTTGGCCCAACTATTGAAATCTTAGTTTTTTTCTTATCAAATACAAATAATAAAAATGTAGCAGGGTGTTATAGGTTTAAAATATTAACAATGAATATTTTGATAATATATAGTAGAAAACAACAACTTTGCAGCATAAAAATAACACATGTTGCAATTACAGCATATCAACCTATTTTCATTTCAATGCAAAACAAGTCTATAAGGCATAGGTGGCTGTGAAAAATAAAAGCATTGACAATTGTTTTTATTAATCACACCTGTTAGAATATGTTTAAAATAGTTTTGTGTAGTTAAGGTTTTCAAAATGGGTAGAGGAAAGGTTGTTAGTATTAGTGAGAAAATTCGGTTACTGATAATTAAATTTTTTAATTCTGGGAAATCAAACTCAGAAATTGCAACTTTGTTAGACTCATCGCGGTACAGTGTGAGAAATATTGTTAGAAGATATAACGTAACTGGTTCAGTTAATATTAAGCCACGATATGTGAAAAAACTAATATCACAAATGCCGACCGAAGAGCATTAAGAAGAACAATCGTGAAAAACAGGCGTGCCAATTATTTACAATTAAGTGACGCTGTTGGAAGGATAATTTCAACATCCATAACTCATAGAGAGGCCCACAAACCGGGATTTAGCACTTGCAAGGTAAGTTTTCTTATAAAAAAAAGTGAAGTAAAAACCCTAAAGTTGCACAACTTGTTTATAGGCCACTAATAACTCCACTGCAAAAGAAAAATCGGCTTAGATCGGCTAAAGAACATAGACAATGGACACCTCAACAATGGTGTGCAATACAATGGAGTGATGATGCCCGATTCGAAGTTTTTGTTGGTGCCAGTCGCAGTAGAGTTATTCGCAAAACAAATGAAGCATTCCATGTCGACTGTCTGAAGAGAAAAGTGAAATTTCCAGCATCCATTATGGTCGGGGGCAGTATGTCATCAAAAGGAGTAGGAAAACTTCATTTTATTGATGGAAATGTGGATACAAACAAATATTTGGCAATTTTAGAAGAATCGCTTTTACCAGTGATGGAAGAATGTTTGACATCCGGCCAAGATTTTGTGTTTCAGCAAGACCGTGCAGCGTGCCATACCTCAAAACAGGCTATAAAATGGATGGAAGAAAATAATGTACCACTTTTGAAATGGGTTTCTAGCAGTCCAGATCTGTCACCTATTGAAACTTTGTGGCACGAGATGAAAAAGGTTGTACGACAACATCCTGCTCGTACAATCACCGAACTGAGACAACAGCTTCAAGAAATATGAGATTGTTTTACACCAAATTTTTGCCAAAACTTGGTTAACACTATGCCCCAAAGAATTTCAGCCGTAATAAAAAATAAAGGTGGTGTTACCCAATGGTAATCTTTCAATTGTTGCTTTGTTAACTTCGCGCATTTATTCGCACATTGTTTATTTGTTCAGATGTTCTATTAGTTATAGGTCTAAGTGACTTCAAATATGTATTTTTTACGACTAGAGTGAATCTAAAATGTTTTTGAGAATATAAATTGTTTTAGAAGTAAATAGTTTCATCATGTTTAGTTTGGTAATCTTTCAATTGTTGCTTTGTTAACTTCGCGCATTTATTCGCACATTGTTTATTTGTTCAGATGTTCTATTAGTTATAGGTCTAAGTGACTTCAAATATGTATTTTTTACGACTAGAGTGAATCTAAAATGTTTTTGAGAATATAAATTGTTTTAGAAGTAAATAGTTTCATCATGTTTAGTTTATAAAGGCATATTTTGGTACAAATCTTGAAGTGAGCCAACTGAAGTGGGAAGAGGCTCGTATTAGACGTCTGACATTTTATGCGAATATTCCACCTTCATGGAAGGATAAGACGGGTGATTGATTACTTTTATCCTTTTAATTTTTTCTCTTGCAAAAATCTTTGATTTACTTGTAAACCTCACTTTGCAGCAAATTTTGTTTTTCTTCCATAAAAGTGGAATATTCACACAATTTTAGAGTTATTATTATTATTCGGTAACAAGTGACGATTGAAGAAAAAATGCATTTTTTGCCAAAAAAGAAACAATCAGACGAAAAGTATTAATACTCCTCCAGACAGGCTGTTGGAAAAAAGGAACATGCGACGATTTGCCTGTGATCTAGAGGGACCACTTATCTTTAATAAACTTTGTTACAATATGTCATACTTACTGGCTGCAGGTATCCCAAGGCTAGCCGCCTGACTAGCGGCTACTGACAGCGTATTGCTGTACGCAGCTGTGTTGTACGCGGCTTGTGCAGCCGCCGCCGCCTGGGCCTGCTGGGCGCTGGACGTTGGCGGATACCCTTGGTGAGCGGACGCCGATCCGCCGCCCCCGGTGCGTCCGCCGGTTGAAGCCGCCGCGGCCGCCGCTGCTGCCGCTTGAGCGGCCGCCATGCCGAACGGTAGGCCGGGATGGGGCGGCATGCCGAAGCCGCCAGCGCCGGCCGCAGCCGCTGCGGCGAACAGGTTGGCGGCGTTCGCGGCTGAGGCGGAATCGCCGCGCGGCCAGTACGCTGTAGAGACGAAACACTCGGATATAAAAATGGATCGGCAGGTTATTACGTAAAAAATCTATACGGTGTGTCCCAGATTCGCTTCTCTATACAGGGATCTCGGCTCCTGTTACACATATGTACAGAGTGCGCCATCTTTTGTCGGTATTGATCGATTTTGATATTTACCAACCGAGTGATTTGGTTATATGTGTTTCTGGAACGTCAATTTACTACAACTTTAGTCATGAATCGCTTTACACCGAAACAACGCGCCGAAATAGTCACAATGTACATCGAAAAGCGTCGTTCAGTTGTGTTAACACGACGTGCATATCGTTGAAAATATCGTGGCAAACAGGGCACCGTCCCAAATGTGTCGTATCGTCACCGCGCTCAGCATTTTGGTATCAGTGGAACCACGTTGCGGCACATTTTCAAGGATGATTTACATTTGTTTCCTTATAAGGTGCAGTTAACACAAAAAATATTGCCAAGTGACCATCCATGTCGCTTGGAATACGCCCAAACAGTCGCTTGCATGGTTGATGCTAAACCTGATTCTTGGAAGCAAATTGTGATGACCGACGAGGCCCAATTCACGCTCTCTGGCGGCGTTAATAAGCATGGCCGAAAAGTGACTGTTTGGGTCGGCGTTTGCGCCAAAACCATCATTGGGCCATTTTTCTTCAACGAAAACAAAACAGTCGATGGAAATCGATATCGGTGGATGTTGGCTCATTATGTCTGCCCACAAAGGCGTGAAAAAGGTCTTGATGGTTACTGGTTCCAACAAGACGGTGCGCCATGCCACACTGCAAATGAAACAATCCAGTTTCTGCAACGAATGTTCCCTGGGCGTCTGATGTCAAAAAGAGGTGACATTGACTGGCCACCCAGGTCTCCAGATTTGACCCCACCAGACTTCTTCTTGTGGGGTTATTTGAAAAGTCAAGTGTACGCCAGCAAGCGAGAAGTGGCACTCGTGGCCTTCTTAGATATTGAAGATGCATTTAATTGCACCACAACCGACTCTATCAGACAGGCCTTGGTTAGACACGGGGTTGGATCAATCCTAATAGATTGGGTCCTCTCTACTCTGGAGGGTCGGGTAACAACAGCTATGCTGAATAACGTAAGCTGCAGCGTGAACGTAGCTAGAGGCTGCCCTCAGGGCGGAGTTCTGTCACCCCTACTGTGGTGTATCGTGGTGAACGAACTGCTCGTTAGGCTCAGCAGTATGGGTGTCTATGCGCAAGCCTATGCTGATGACGTAAGCATAGTGGTTAGGGGGCGTTTCTGTAGAACAGTCTCGGAAATTATGCAGGGCGCTCTGCGCTCCGTGGAATCGTGGTGTAGGGAAGTCGATTTTTCTGTTAATGCTGAAAAGACCGAGCTGATCCTATTCACTAGGAGAAGAAGGCTTGACGGACTGGTCATGCCGACCTTCTTTGGGACTAGATTAGTTTTGTCCAAGTCAGTGAAATATCTGGGAATTATCCTGGACTGCAAACTGAACTGGAGAGAGCATGTGGAACACAAGGTTAGCAAGGCTCGCAATTCGATGTGGGCTTGTAGACGTGTTGTCGGTGTAAGGTGGGGGCTTAAACCCAAAGTGATATACTGGCTCTACACGACGATAGTACGTCCATCTCTCTTGTACGGCTCCCTGGTCTGGTGGCCTTGCATTAGAACTGAGTCAACTAAGGCCAAACTCAATAAAATTCAGCGTTTGGCCTGTATTAGCATTACAAGCGCAGTGCGAACAACGCCATTGAGTGCAATGGAAGCTCTGTTGGATCTCCCACCGTTGGATCTGGTGATCCGCGGTGAAGCGAGAGTAGTCGCTCATCGACTGTGGAGTCAGGGCAGCTGGGCTTTCTTGAATCCGGTCAAGGGGCATACTGCCATATTAGTCGAATTAGAAAGGGAGGACCCCGTCCTTCTAAGCAGGGGTGATCGTATTACCCCTAAATATCGCTTCAACCGCAAGTTTATTGTGGAGTACCGAACGAGGGAGGAGTGGGACGCCGGTAGCCGAGGACTCTCCGAAGTGAGCGGGCAGGTCTGGTACACGGACGGCTCGGTCACCGAAGAGGGCTCAGGTGCTGGGGTTTATGGACCTAGAACTAGGCTATCTCTGCCTCTCGGTGCGTACACCACCATTTTCCAGGCGGAAATCTTTGCGATTCTGGCTTGTGTATCTCACATTCTGGAGGAGGGTGGGCCTAGGAGAAGAATAACAATCTTATCCGACAGCCAGGCTGCAATGAAAGCACTAAGTGCATGTAAGATTACTTCGAGTCTTGTATTGCAATGCAGGGAGGCTCTGGATTGCCTCGCAGCGAGGCATCCGGTATCGTTAATATGGGTACCGGGGCACGCTGGGATAAGGGGCAATGAGACGGCGGACACTCTGGCGAAAACAGGATCAGCCAGCAAGCTCGTTGGTCCTGAGCCAGCTCTAGGAGTAACCGCGCATAAAGCTAGGAGGAAAATGGTGACGTGGGTTGCAAGACAACACTCTCAGAAATGGAGAAGTATCTCTAGACATCTCCGCCAGGCACGAGAGCTCATTGAAGGGCCCAGTGCTAAGGATGGACGCTTCTGCCTATCTCTGGGTAGAGCCAACCTAAGGTTGCTGGTGGGACTGTTGTCTGGCCATAACACGTTAAGGCGGCACCTGCACGTGATGGGGGTGGCTGAGGATCCCTTGTGCGAACGCTGCGGAGTAGAGGAAGAGACCTCGGCGCACGTTTTGTGTCGCTGTGAAGCTCTGAGCTACTATAGGCAGACTATACTGGGGTCCATTACTTTGGACCCTCAGGACGTAAAGGAGCTTGGACTCAAGGCGATTCTCAACTTCGCTAAAAGGGCGAGGCTTGTGATTTAAGTATTGTAGAGGTGCATAAGGGCCCTCTTAAGCGGCCTATGCACTGGCTCCTTATGGTGGCCGGGATGCCTCTAAAATTCAAGATTCATTCATTCATACGCCAGCAAGCCCCAGACCACTGAAGAACTCAAGGCAAACATTCGTAACGCAATCGCCGCTATACCACCAGAGATGCTCGAAAAAGTAATGGGAAACGCAGCAAAACGGGCACATTTTGTTTTGCCCAATAAAGGTGGCCACTTGATAGATGTTGTGTTCAAAAACTAGTCTCAATAAATTGTAAAGGACCATATTTAATAAAAATACCCGATATATAGAAATGAGTTTTTCGTTTTCAAAGTTATTTCATGTTTACATACCAACATAAAAGATGGCGCACCCTGTACAGCAAATGTTTAATAGGGAACGTTCTAAAGGAAACTTAGTGTATTTGATAGCCGGCTTCACATTTTCGATCGGTGAATTGGTTTTGGAAATATCGGCGAAAAACTGAAAATGTCGAATTTTGTTTTTTGTCAGTAAATCCGAAAATGTGACATTATTCGGACATTTTTTAAGGCAAATAAGATAGGCTGTAAGAAATGTCTCAAACTTTTTTTGTTTTCTCGCAACCTGTATCAACTTTCATTTTTCTTACGGCGGGCATATTGGAATTTTCGATTTTTGAAAAGAGCGTAAAATTTCCAGCCTAGTGATGTCTTACTGGTATATAGAAGATTGGAGTATCATAGAAATATCATCACACGTAACTTTATGTATACATTTTTTTCTAAGGAGGCCATGATTTATTTGTCAGAAAATAAAATTAATAAGTAACGCATTTTTTTCATCTAAGGAGGCTCTGACTTTGACGCTAAATAATTCAAAGTATTTAAATTGTGTTTTAATAAGTAGTAGGTACGTTTTCTCACACTAAAATTATAAATCTGCCAAAAAATTGTCAAAATCTGTTGAAAATGGCCGGTATTCTCTACTCAAATAAAGAAAAGTTTGACATGTCAGCGCTGTACTTGCAGTCACATAGAAACGCCGACAGAGGAAAGGAACCAAATTTGAGACAAGCGCCTAATTTGAGACAGTGGTGTAACTTTGTATCTTTGAGCACCATCTTCTAGTAATACCAAAAAGTTGTGAACTAAGACGCAGAGAGTTAAAAATATTTTTAATAGTGCAAGAAAAGTGATTACAAAAATTAAGGTAAGTTATTTAGAACAATTGTCTGATATAAATTTAGTAGTTTACAAATACCTTATTTATTTTCTTTTAGGTATATAACCTAAATATGCTTGTGTAAACTTTTTATCGGAAAATTCCTATCAAGATAGATGCCTGGAAACACAAAAGTAAGGAGATGGATTATTTAAAAGCCTCACAAGGATTCGGATAGATACCCTCCCCCTCCAGTTCAAGTTCAGAATCCAGCGGAAGCCTTAATTAAGTTGGATGATGAGATAAGAAGGGTGAAAATGGGCAAAATACAGCCATTATAGTAGATGAGCACATAAAAATTAGAGATTACCAATAAAATTTTCATTTGCACTTTCTGCAAAAGAAAGGTATTTTTTGAATAGCATCTCAAATTAGGGAACCAGCTGTAAAATCACAAAAATATTTACTTTTTTCAAAATATACTTTTTCTATACTTCTGTAAGAAATTACATTTGATATTATTTTTTTATTTTAGAGTATGCTAGGAGCATCAAATCGCGAGTTTAATTAAAAATATACGCTCTTTTAAAACAACAAGTACTTTATTTTTCCTTTTCAAAAAAAGTATCTCAAATTTGGTTCCTTTTCTCTACCTCAGCGAAAACCGTGCATAAACGGTAGGGACAAGTATGGTTTTTCTGATGGTAAATGACCCACTCTGTCACTTCCTGCCGTTTGATTCATAGCTTTTGATGCACCCTGTATAAAATACGGCCACTTTTGCCTCCGGCTCCACAATTAAATAAAAATGCCAAATATGGGAAAATTGCGCGTACTCGTTATATCATCATAAGATAGAACGAAATTCTAAACAACCAAATCTCCTACTAGATCACAATAAATGTAACAGCTTTCACATCGAAATAAATTTGAATCTGCAAGAGAAGAAAATGCAAAAAACTCACCTCCAAAAAGGCTGGCAGCATCCAGAAGAGAAGCGGCATCTTGCGAGTTTGATAATTTGCTTGTCCCTGTGTTATTTTCGCTATTCTTCCCATTTTCTTTATCCATTTCCAAACCACTGCTCTGAAAACAGGTCCAATCGCTTAGACACTCCTTATAGAACTTCTCTCATGACAACTTTTTCAATCGATCACAGATTTGCTTTCGATATGAACCCACTACTTTAAAGAAATTGTACTTATGGGGCGACAGAACTCTATTCACGGCAATTCTGGCACGCAACGATGATATTTTTGGCAAAAACTATTCGAAAATCGATCGGAAATTGACGAGTTTGGAAGACAGCGGGATTTTCTCAAATGTCAAACAGGTTTATTGTTTATTTTCGCTGGCTGGGAGAATTCGCTAATTTAAACGAAGTTGTGTCATGTCAAACGTAGTAACCTGTGACGTGAAATCATCTGAAAGCCAGAAATATCATGAAACGGGGTAGTGCATATAGTGCCTAGTTAGTGCTAAGCTCAGTGCAGATGAAGACGTGCTTACTGAATGAAAAAAAGACGGAATAATCTAAGATCCGAATTAGAATCAACCTTCACCCATCTGTTCAATGAAAGAAAAGTATTTTATATCATATTTAGTATGTTAAAAAATATATCGCAAGAGGGTCATCTAAAAAAAATTCCTGGCAAGACTGTGATGAGTTAAAAACTAAAAAATTACTTTTTATCAAAAGTTGCTCTATTAATAAATTTCGTGCCAACTTAAAGTATGAAGCCTATAGAATAAGCATGAGTTGAGCTGTCTGTTTTTACTTCCTATGCCAAAACTGGCGACGAAGTATTGTAATCGAAAAAAATTTCTAGATTGAGATATGTTTTTTTGGGTGTTATATTACATGTACATACTATCTGTCCGCTAATTGAGAAGTATCGCTCAGATTTTGATAAAATTTTCACAAAATATTACTACTATGCCAAGGATGTAAAAGCTTTATATTATAGTTTTAGAAAATCGGTCTAGTGGTAGCGGAGAAAAAGAACAAAATACAAAAAAAATCTCTCTAACTTCGTTTGTTTTTGACGTTCTAGTCTAGAGATTGTTTTCAGAAAAATGTTTGTAGGAGTTGAAATTTGGAGGTTGGGGAGGGTAAATGATTTTTTTAACTTATATTTATACGTTCCCAACAATGATAGAGACATGTTTTCGATCCCGGTTATTTGTCGTACTGATGCCCAAAAAACATAATGAGTTCGCACGAACCGAAAAATAACTCGTTACAGAGATGCCTCGCATTTTTCTGGCGTAGCTATTGGGTTAAATACTAAGTGACATATAAATCCGAACACCCAGTTTAAATGGTTTTATTTTAATAAAATTTTGTATAAGTACTTAATGAAGCACAATAAGTAAATGATAAAAATTTCAAAATGATTGCACTGCTTTAAAGCCCTTTGACCTTTAATAATGTGTGGATGCACCCTGATGTGCTACGCATTCTCCAACGCGCCTAGGCATGCTTCTGATCAGGTGGTCAATGTCCTCCTGTGGTATCTCATTCCAGGCAACCACCAACTCCTCTCGAAGTGCTTCTAGAGTCTGAGGAGGACGTTGCAAATTGAGCAATCTCCTACCCATCATATCCCACACGTGCTCAATTGGGGATAAGTCGGGAGATCTTGGTGGCCATGGTAACAATGTGACATCATTATGTTGGAAGAAGTCTATTGTGACTCTTGCAACATGTGGTCGGGCATTATCTTGTTGGAAAGTTGGATCTGCCAGGGTGTCAAGATAGGGTAAAAGATGGGGTTCTAGAACTTCGTGGATATAACGCTGCGCGTTCATGTTACCTCTGATGAAGATTAAAGGTGACCTGGAACCATAAGCTATAGCACCCCAAACCATAACTCCAACAGTGTGATGAACATGTCTTTCAACAAAAAACTGTGGATTCCTCCTTTCACCACGTCGCCTTCTAACCCTGGCACGACCATCGTGCAAGCCTAAACAAAATCGAGACTCGTCACTAAAGACAATACTGTTCCATTCCTGATCCCAGAGTGACCGTTGTCTGCACCACTCAAGGCGATTACGTCGGTGTTCTCGAGTTAAAGGGAGGACCCAGTGTGGCCGGTATGAAAACAAGCCAAAACTTCTCATTCGTCGGTAAACACTTCGCATGCCAATAGGTCTTCCGTGTTCTGCAAACCATTCATTTGCAATGGACCTGGTAGTGGAGAAACGGTCCCTTAAGGCCAATAATCTATGTTCTACGGCGGCGTCCAGTGCCCCTTGCTCTTTGCGTACGGCCTTCTCGAAGCCATGCCTGACAACACCTAACCACAGTGTCTACACTTCTTTGCACTCTAACTGCAATTGCCCGAAAAGAAAGTCCAGCTTCCCAAAGTCCCACTATACGGCCCCTATCAAACTCACTAAGTTGACGAAATCGTACAGGTCTCCGTACTCTAGGCATCGAACCGATAGTAAAGGATGTCAAGAACTAAAATCCGCCAACGTTGATTCTTTACTGCGGCTGAAATATTCATTTTTAGAGCGTTAGTGAATTAAAAAAAAACAGTATAAAAACCGGAATGTCCAACTGATAAGCCTGAAAATGTTTTCACTTGTTATTTACAGTAAGATAAATACATTCACCAACTTTTATTAAAATAAAACCATTTAAACTGGGTGTTCGGATTTATATGTCACTTAGTATAGTTGTAGTCACAGTTCTTGGCGGGTCAAAGTAAGACTACCAGTATCCCTTTATATATCTCCATCTCCCTCATACATAAACATGCAACCTATCCCTGTGTGTGAACGTTTGTTCGGTAAGCTCAAAGACATATCATATTTGTCAGAGTGAGAACTTACTTGACATCGGCATGCAATTTGAGTTATCCCGTTATCAATCTTCAATATAAAATTGTACAATGCCCGGACATACGATCAATGGAGGAGACCGACAGCTCGTGCTAAATTTATTAAGGTATGTCCAGGAAGAGAATGAAAACATGGGTCCCCTGTTAGCCACTTCATGCGTACTGGAGAGAGTAGCAGATACGCTGAAGGTTATGATCGGCCCATGGTACGGAGACTCAAACTGTTTACTTATTTCATATGAAGTTAATGACCTAACCGCCAAGAACGGTGGCTACAACTACTATAGCAGGTATGTTGATACTAATTTGCAGCGATCTGTTTAATAAATACATCTTATAACAAAATAAGCATCGTTTCATTTCGAATACTGAAAAAAACCTGGGTAAGACTATACATTAGCGCATATCGCAAATATTTCAATTCTTACTTTAAAATGAAATATTAGGATGTAACTTGCCCGAAAATATCATTGTTTCGTTAAGGAACCCTCTGCTTGCTATCTTATAGAACTTCAAAGTTGCATTTTTGGTGGTAATACTCTAGAGGAATACTTCTCAACACGCTTTTTTGCTTTTTGCACAAAATGATGCTCTAAATAATAAGAATATAACATACACTGTATAGTACTAAGAAAATGTGAATGATGTGAAACTGTAAAAAATCGTTGCTTTTGCCCAGAAAGGTTCAAAACCAGACGTGTTATTACACATTAGCTTATTAGCTTAAATAACATATCAAAATGATGGTATTTACTTGGTAAACTGTGTAGAGGTGTTGTGTTGTGATTTTTCAAAGTCTTCTTGACATTTCTTAACCATTTTTTTCGCGCATTTTCAATGAGATCAAAGTTTTTGCGTTTATAAGAAATATTTGAAAGTACAAACAATTCTGAATCTTCATTTCCTTACAGACAAGATAAATGATGTCCATTGTTGCCAAGTTGTACCTTTTTTGGGAGAAATACGTGATAAAAAATGAGGTTATTTGCAAAATAAAAGTCTTAATTTATTGTAAATGGCTTGTTTTATGAGAAGTTGACCAAACATGTACAGAAAACTAGATGAAATTTAGAAAAGTATGTGTCTAAACAGTGGAAAATGCACCAGCGGCTCGCGTGACCGAAAATACAAAAGGCACCAGCGGTCATTGCATATAGAAAAACCCAACTTCGATTCGTCGATTTGGACCACCTCGCTAGGTCCACCCAACATATCATCGTCCAACATTATATACTAAGTGACATATAAATCCGAACTCCCAGTTTAAATGGTTTTATTTTAATAAAATTTTGTATAAGTACTTAATGAAGCATAATAAGTAAATGATAAAAATTTCAAAATGATTGCACTGCTCTAAAGCCCTTTGACCTTTAATAATGTGTGGATGCACCCTGATGTGCTACGCATTCTCCAACGCGCCTAGGCATGCTTCTGATCAGGTGGTCAATGTCCTCCTGTGGTATCTCATTCCAGGCAACCACCAACTCCTCTCGAAGTGCTTCTAGAGTCTGAGGAGGACGTTGCAAATTGAGCAATCTCCTACCCATCATATCCCACACGTGCTCAATTGGGGATAAGTCGGGAGATCTTGGTGGCCATGGTAACAATGTGACATCATTATGTTGAAATAAGTCTATTGTGACTCTTGCAACATGTGGTCGGGCATTATCTTGTTGGAAAGTTGGATCTGCCAGGGTGTCAAGATAGGGTAAAAGATGGGGTTCTAGAACTTCGTGGATATAACGCTGCGCGTTCATGTTACCTCTGATGCAGATTAAAGGTGACCTGGAACCATAAGCTATAGCACCCCAAACCATAACTCCAACAGTGTGATGAACATGTCTTTCAACAAAAAACTGTGGATTCCTCCTTTCACCACGTCGCCTTATAACCCTGGCACGACCATCGTGCATGCCTAAACAAAATCGAGACTCGTCACTAAAGACAATACTGTTCCATTCTTGATCCCAGAGTGACCGTTGTCTGCACCACTCAAGGCGATTACGTCGGTGTTCTCGAGTTAAAGGGAGGACCCAGTGTGGCCGGTATGAAAACAAGCCAAAACTTCTCATTCGTCGGTAAACACTTCGCATGCCAATAGGTCTTCCGTGTTCTGCAAACCATTCATTTGCAATGGACCTGGTAGTGGAGAAACGGTCCCTTAAGGCCAATAATCTTAGGCGGCGATCTTCACGGTCTGTTGTTCTACGGCGGCGTCCAGTGCCCCTTGCTTTTTGCGTACGGCCTTCTCGAAGCCATGCCTGACAACACCTAACCACAGTGTCTACACTTCTTTGCACTCTAACTGCAATTGACCGAAAAGAAAGTCCAGCTTCCCCAAGTCCCACTATACGGCCCCTATCAAACTCACTAAGTTGACGAAATCGTACAGCTCTCCGTACTCTAGGCATCGTAACCGATAGTAAAGGATGTCAAGAACCAAAATCCGCCAACGTTGATTCTTTAATGCGGCTGAAATATTCATTTTTAGAGCGTTAGTGAATTAAAAAAAAAGTAGTATAAAAACCGGAATGTGCAACTGATAAGG